TCTCTCTCTCTCTCTCTCTCTCTCTCTCTCTCTCTCTCTCTCTCTCTCTCTCTCTCTCTCTCTCTCTCTCTCTCTCTCTCTCTCTCTTTTTATGACCCTTCCATAAGCCGGTCTTGATGAAAGGAGAAAAATTAGGCAGGAAAGAAAGGTTGTGCAAGAAGCAGTCTAAGGCCACTGTTTTCTTCTTCTGGCCACTGTTTTCTTGTTCTTCTTTTTCTTCTTCTTCTTCTTCTTCTTCTTCTTCTTCTTCTTCTTCTTCTTCTTCTTCTTCCTCTTCTTCTTCTTCTTCTTCTTCTTCTTGAATGTGCAAGAAGCAGTCTACGACCACTATTTTCTTCTTCGTCTTCTTCTCCTCCTCCTTTTTCTTGTTTTTTTCTCTTGTCTTTCTTAATTCTTCTTTTCTTCTGGTCTAAATCAACTTAACACTTGAGATTTTAGCATTGTCCGAAAATACTGTCATGCACTATTAACCATACTTGCAAGCGCACGTCATGCGGGCAGTTCCCTACGTGCGGTGCACGCACCCAACTGATCCTGTGCGGCGCACGACCCGTCACCCCCCTCAGAAAAAAAAAAGGCCAGGGTCGAGATGGTGCTTGCGAGACCCCAAGTGAGATGAAAAAAAAAATTACAGGAGTACTGCCTCACCTTACTCTTCCTCCCCTTCCTCATCCTCCATGTCTCCTCCTCCATTCTCCTTTTCGTATCCTCCAACTAGTCCTCCTCCTGTTCGTCCTCCTCCTTCCCTTCTGCACCCTCCTTGTCTCCTCCTCGTCCACATACTTCCTCATCTTCCATGCCTCCTCACCTCCTTCCCTTCCTCGTGTCCTCCCCTTCCTCGCCATCCATGTCTCCTCCTCCTCCCATTCGTCCTTTTCCTCCTGCCCTTCCTCTTTTCCCTCCGTCCATCTCTTCTCCTCCCCCCACCTCGACGACTCCTCATCGTCCTCCTCATCCACATCCTCCTCCTCCTCTCCATAATCCCCTCTCCTCGCCATATCCCCGTCTTCCTGTGATACGCCCCCCCGTTCCCCCTCCCAAAAAAAGATAAAATAATAATAAAAATTAAAAACCTGCACAATTCCGCACAGGCACCCCCCACACGGAACTCCGCACGGAACTCCGCACGAATGTGCGGCTCGTGTGGTTGCAAGTATACTATTAACAACCCAAAAGGATCAAAGCAGTTGTAAGTGAAATAGGGTCCATGGATGTCTCCAAGTCTTGTTCCTCCATGACAACCCCACTGAGGTTCCGTAGTCAGATACCCTTTGAAATTGACATAGAATTTATTATTTAGACCTTGAGGAAAAGACGAACAAGAGAGTTCATTGTTCTCACCTGGTGAACACACATGAAGCCACAGGAAGCCCAAGTTCCGTATCTTCTGGGATTTCAAACCTGCAGGGAAAACAAAATACACCAAATCAACGGGTGTCACCCTATCTTCCTTCTCCATACACTCAAAACGGAAAAAAGAGAGGACAATCAATATTGCATTAAGGGAGCACATAGCCCATCCCTCTTTCTTCTCGCTCTCCCTCACCCCCAGAAAGATATCATGACCTCACTCTCTCTCTCTCTGAGTACTGGATTCATCTCATTCTCCGTCACACCCAGAAGATATCATGACCTCGCATGCCCTCTCTCTCTCTCTCTCTCTCTCTCTCTCTCTCTCTCTCTCTCTCTCTCTCTCTCTCTCTC